TATCGTCGCCATCATGATCCTCATCACCCTTATTATCGTCGTCATCATTATCATTATTATCGTCGTCATCATCATCCTCATTATCGTCATTATCATCATCCTCAGTTTCGTATGGCTTGTCCAATCAAAATGATTTCTATCAGTGGGGAATTATAGTTTCCTAAATCCCTGTGTGGGTTCCTCCGGGGTCCACTGGGGTCGGGAAGGGGAGGGAGGGGAGGGAGGGGAGGGAGGGGAGGGAGGGGAGGGGAGGGGAGGGGAGGGGAGGGGAGGGAGGGGAGGGGAGGGAGGGAGGGGGAGGAGGGGAGGGAGGGGAGGGAGGGGAGGGAGGGGATTGGACAGAACAGAAGAGCCCCACTGTCGCTCTACGACAAGCATGTCGTAAGACTAGACTAATTATGAGTATCCTTTGAAGTCATAGTGCATCTGAGAGGCACTGAACCACCAGTCTGCGTACAAAAATATCGGATCTGTAAAACGGATGCACATGCAAAACTTACATTTGCGGAACAAGACTAAAGTCTAGAAGTGGATGAACAACAGGAACTTTTCGCGCGAGGTTACAGCAGGTCAACGTCAGGAGGAAAAAAAAAACAGTTTGTAACAAATATGATCATCACTTTATCAAAGATTCTCCTCCTCCTCCTCGTCCTTCTTCTTCTTCTTCTTCTTCTTCTTCTTCTTCTTCTTCTTCTTCTTCTTTTTCTCATAATAAGTCGCCTTTTACGACACACTGACCGGTGCGATGTTGACCACATAACCTACTAAGTTTCCACTAGTTTATTAAATAAGGTCTAGCCCTATATACCCAAAACGCACGAAGACGTAAAAAAATTGTATATTATTTTTACGACACACGTAAGAAGCAGTGGGTCTATTTCCCTCAACCCAAAATGGTATCCAGAACCCACAGGCGATTGTCGAGGAGTCGAACCTGGGTCTCCCAAATGACAGCTCAGTGTTCTAGAGATTTAGCCTAGCCGTCTTTACACAGTGGGCCTCGTCCTGTCCCACAAACATGGATTATCTCCCCTATTTGCTCTGAACCTGGATACGTTTCTTACCAGCTTACCTGACCGGGAGCTGTCACATCCCACTCGGGGACGGCTTGTTTGATTGGACGAGTCATTTGTCACCTGGGTCATGTCAGACAGGGACCTGGGGGTCAGGAGAAAGTAGTGACGTCTCCTAGAGTGCCCCGGAGCATCACTGAGAGTGAGAGCTTAAGCTGGCCCCTTTAAGGTCTTTTTGTGGAGACCGTGAAATGATGGGAAAGATTATATTTGTGTTCATTTGAGGTCAGATGCGATGGTGTATCGGCTATCCGACGCTCTACCGTGCAGTCTAGAGGATTTTGTGTGCGTGTCCAAAATGTAGCTTAGCTCCCAGGTCGACCTAGCCTAACATGTGTATCATAAGGTAATGTTCTGGGAAGTAAAGGCAGCCGGCGGGATGTCGACCACATCACCCATTGATAGTTAAGGCGGCCGTCAGAAGTATAGGCAGACAGGCAGGCAGACAGGCAGGCAGGCAGGCAGGCAGACAGGCAGACAGGCAGACAGGCAGACAGGCAGGCAGGCAGGCAGGCAGACAGACAGGCAAGCAGACAGGCAGGCTGTAAGGATAGCGACGTTCTGCAGAGAACCTGCTATATTACTATTATTATTTTTACGAACTTGGCCAAAGCTAAAGCCGGCACTTCAATTTTAATTCACCACAAACAAACATGGAAGCAACATTTAGGTTAGCTATATTTAGCGTGCGTTAGAGTTTAGTGTTAGGGTTAGGTCTGAGAAGCTGAAGAAGAAGAAGAAGAAGAAGAAGAAGAAGAAGAAGAAGAAGAAGAAGAAAAAGAAGAAGAAGAAGAAGAAGAAGAAGAAGAAGAAGAAGAAGAAGAAGAAGAAGAAGAAGAAGAAGAAGAAGAATAAGAATAAGAAGAAGAAGAAGAAGAAGAAGAAGAAGAAGAAGAAGAAGAAGAAGAAGAAGAAGAAGAAGAAGAAGAAGAAAAGAAGAAGAAGAAGAAGAAGAAGAAGAAGAAGAAGAAGAAGAAGAAGAAGAAGAAGAAGAAAAGAAGAAGAAGAAGAAGACGAAGAAGAAGAAGAAGAAGAAAAGAAGAAAAAGAGAAAGAAGCAGGCGCATCAGAAGAAGAGGAAGAAGAAGAATGAAGAAAGCATATGCTGCTGAAGATGGGACGTGGCACCTATGAGAATGTCCTGAGTGCTGTGATGTAGGTTGTCAACTGACTTCAACTGTCCCTACTGTTGTGTTTACCGTGAATAATATAAAATAATTTCTTTAATGCGGAAAAAAGGGGTGGGCGGGGGGTTGTAAGCATAAGCATTTAATGCCATATGGCTAGTGCCGTCGCCACGAACTGTCCAAGTTAGGATTGTTATTTTTGGCTCCGATTTATAGAGCACAAATCATCAATCCCGTACTAAGGATCGAATCCGGGTCTCTCACACAGGACTGCTATTTACAGATTTATAGAAATGAGTTGACTGACTAGCAAGCCAAAGGGGAGTGAGGGCTACAAAACGTACAGACACAACGCACACAGACACAACGCACACAGGCACACAGACACAACGCACACATGCACACAGACACAACGCACACAGACACAACGCACACAGGCACACAGGCACACAGACACAACGCACACAGGCACAACGCACACAGGCACACAGACACAACGCACACAGACACAACGCACACAGGCATACAGACACAACGCACACAGACACAACGCACACAGGCACACAGACACAACGCACACAGACACAACGCACACAGGCACACAGACACAACGCACACAGACACAACGCACACAGGCACAACGAACACAGACACAACGAACACAGACACAACGCACACAGGCACACAGACACAACGCACACAGACACAACGCACACAGGCATACAGACACAACGCACACAGGCACACAGACACAACGCACACAGACACAACGCACACAGACACAACGCACACAGGCACACAGACACAACGCACACAGGCACACAGACACAACGAACACAGACACAACCAAACGACGTTTCCATCGGAGTCTTTGTCAACAAACAAAACAAGAAGAAGAAGAAACACTAGCCACCATATGTGGGAGTCAGGTAAGGTTCTGTAGCGGAAATCTCGGTTTCAACTCATGTTGTATAATGAGTAACATAAAGTATTAATGGATAATGTCAGTAACTGTGACAACAGACAGAACAAGATAATAATATTTGACAAAAGATGACGAAAATAACAATGTTGAAAATAGAAGACAAAGATAATGGTGATAACAGAATATAAACATAATGATGGTGATACCAGACCATGAAGATAACAATAGTGATAACAGAATATAAACATAATGATGGTGATAACAGACCATAAAGATAACAATTGTGATAACGGCAAATAACATAACAATGGTGATAACAGACCATGAAGATAACAATGGTGATAATAGCATATAACATAACAATAGTGATAACAGAATATAAACATACTGATGGTGATAACAGACCACGAAGATAACAATGGTGACAACAGCATATAACATAACAATGATGATAACAGCATTTAACATAACAATGGTGATGATAGAAGATAACAATAATGCTGATAATAAACGATAAAGACAACATTGGTGACAACATACGATGAAGATAACAATGGTAATGACAGACCATGAAGATAGCAAATGGTGATAAAACACCATGAAGATAACAATGGTGATAACATAATATAAACATAATGATGGTGATAACAGACCATGAAGATAACAATGGTGATAACAGACCATGAAGATAACAATGGTGATAACAGACCATGAAGATAACAATGGTGATAACGGAATATAAACATAATGATGGTGATAACAGACCATGAAGATAACAAAAGTGATAACAGACCATGAAGATAACAATGGTGATAACAGAATATAAACATAATGATGGTGATAACAGACCATGAAGATAACAATGGTGATAACAGACCATGAAGATAACAATGGTGATAACAGACCATGAAGATAACAATGGTGATAACATAATATAAACATAATGATGGTGATAACAGACCATGAAGATAACAAAAGTGATAACAGACCATGAAGATAACAATGGTGATAACAGAATATAAACATAATGATGGTGATAACAGACCATGAAGATAACAATGGTAATAATAGCATATAACATAACAATGGTGATAACAGAATATAAACATAATGATGGTGATAACAGACCATGAAGATAACAATGGTGATAAGAGAATATAAACATAATGATGGTGATACCAGCATATAATATAACAATGGTGATGATAGAAGATAACAATAATGCTGATAATGGATGATAAAGATAACAATGGTGACAACAAACGATGAAGATAACAACCGTAATAACAGACCATGACGATAACAAATGGTGATAAAACACCATGAAGATAACAATGGTGACAACAAACGATGAAGATAACAATGGTAATAACAGACCACGAGGATAACAAATAGTGATAAAATACCACGAAGATAACAATGGGGATAACAGAGTATAAATAAAAAATGGTGAGAATAGAATATAAATATAACAATGGTGATAACAGATTATGAAGATAACAATGGTAATAACAGAATATAAATATAACAATGGTGATAACAGAATATAAATATAACAATGGTTCTAATAGAATATGAATATAACAATGTTGATAACATAATATAAATATACCGATGGTGATAACAGACGATGAAGATAACAAGGACATAACAGAATGTAAAGATAATAATATGAAGATAATGAGGGGGGCAATAAGACTTTGAATACAACAATGGGGAGATCATAAACTTGTGATAACAGACATTGAAGATACTGGTGATAACAGACTATAAAGACAACATTAATGAAGAAAACAGATGATGAGGATAGTGTGATAACAGATATTGAAGATAGTGTGATAACAGATGATGAAAACGTCCATTACAAAAGACTTACCCTATTATTGTTCTGGTCATATAAAAGATAAACCATTTGCACGATTTGTTCTTCGTCTGACCCCAGGTCATCCCCGTTTTTGCCGGCAGTGCTTAGAAAGAAGGAAACGATATGTGGCAGGGCAGCCATTGGACGCCACCTCGGTTGCTGTAGCAACTACTGATGTCAGGTGAAACTGATGCCGTCGTTACCAGATTTTGTCTGATCCAGCAGCCAAAACTGAGATTTATACAATTTGCCCGGTTGGATAAAGGTCTCTTAATTCTGTCCTGAAGTCACAGACAGCACTGGGTGAGTTCTTGAGTGGTAACCGACAAATTCAGACAGTTTTCGGCGAGTTCTTGAGTGATAATAGACAAATTCAGGCAGTTCTGGGTGAGTTCTTGAGTGACAACAGACAAATTATGTGACTTTCAAAGTTTTGTCTTTGTGAACGTTTTGTCACAAATAAAACAATTAAGGGTAATGATCCGTCTTGCTTTAAACTGGCCTTAAGTTCTTGTGTTTTCCATTATAGTCTGTTTGTTTCAGTCTGTTCGGATGTTGTCTTTAGGCCAAAAAGTCTTGGTTGGCTTCTGAAAATAATAATAATAGGATTACAATTGAAAATATTAGATTAGAGTTTAGCTATTTGAACTAGATTAGCTTTTTGAACTAATAAAAGAGTTATAAGTCGGGTTATCTAGACGGCACTCCGGATACGTCCATAGAGGCTCAGAAAACCCCTTCAACATAGACATCTGCGGTTATTAGTGCCAGTCATATGATGGCTAACAAGACTTCTTGTATTCCGGTGTGCCTCTCATGCCTGGCTGGTGATCTTTACTCCCCAGTCCCGCATTCTCACCAGCCACGTGGACACGTTGCTCCCAGAATCCCCCTCCATCGTTCTAAGGCCAATCATTGACACAAACTGCGGAAGATAGCAGATTGTGGAGAAACGTGCTCGCCCTTTCAGTCGGCAAGGCACTTGATGATGATGATGATGATGATGATGATGATGATGATGATGATGATGATGATGATGATAGCTATTTGTCTTTCTTAGCATTGTAAGCATGAGCTCAAGTGGCATGTTTATCAGCGCACTTACCCCATGACCTGCTGATCCTGGGTTCATATTTCCAGTAAGCGTGAACACCCAATAGTAAAGGACCCTTTCCAACGATTTTAGACGTATTGGGCACATAGAGCTAGACCTATATTTTATAGACCAATCGGCACAAGGTGGGAGATGTGGTGAGCGCTACGCCGGCCGCCTTTACTTTCCATGACATTACCTTGGTATCCATTTAAGGCTGGGACGACTTACGAGGCAAGGTCATATTTGAAAAGAAAAAAAAAAGAAAAAAAAAAGACACGTCCGGCTCCTTTTGCATACTAACCCACAACCTTCCGAGTTGCAGGCGAGCGTGTAGCCGCTACACCAGGACGGCTCCCACACCCAGCAGTACCTTTAGAATTTGCCGGGGAAGACCCCGATTTCTCTGACGTACAATGATCTGAAAGCTACGAAAGGGGATTTGTTCCCGCTCCTTCTGTATCTCAACTGCCGTCGACAGAGCAGATAGAGCCCTGTTTCTGTCCGTTTTGTGAAACGCGTTCACTAACATTTACTCTAACAGTCACACCCAACTTAGTAGTCTTTCACATTATCTCTCTATCATTCGCCGCGCCTGTTGCTGTTGTCTTCACCATCTTGACATGTTTCTCTGCCATTATCTTCGTTTTGCGCAAGACGTCTTCCCGCATGGCAGGAATGTTTCTGTACACATGTTTTGGTACATGTCCGAACCATCTGACCTGTTTAATGCGCAATCTCAATAATACTTTTCATCATTTTTTATTGTCTCTGCAACCACCGAGGAGCGTCTGGCCGAACAGTTAGAACCTTTCACACTGAAGACTCTGGGTTGAATCCCTGGTAAGGTGAAGCGAAGTGCCATGCCGATTTGAACCCTCGAATTCAAGACCAGCCCACCCCCCCCACCTTTTCCCCCTTAACCCATCTTGTCCTAAACCTTGATTAAAAAACCCAAGAAGAATAGACCCCTTGCCCTCTAACAAGCATGTCGTAAAAGATGACTACCTGGCATTGTTTCCTTCACAGTCGGAGTGTCTCTGCCTGGGAGGCAAGGAATCACGTAAGCATACAAATAAGCCAGAGCTGTCAAACGGATATGCGCGCAAAACCCAAGTTCTGAAACAGGACCAAAGTCCATAAGTGGATGAACAACCAGTACTTTCCTCCAGAGTTTACAGCCGGTGAAGGCCAGAAAGAGGAGGAGGGAGAGGAAGAAGAAGAAAAAAGAAAAAGAGGGAGGGAGGAGGAGGAGAGGAGGAGGAGGAGAGAAGGAGGAGGAGAAGAAGAAGCAGAAGAAGAAGAAGAAGAAGAAGAAGAAGAAGAAGAAGAAGAAGAAGAAGAAGAAGAAGAAGAAGAAGAAGAAGAAGAAGAAGATGATGAAGAAGAAGAAGAAGAAGAAGAAGAAGAAGAAGAAGAAGAAGAAGAAGAAGAAGAAGAAGAAGAAGAAGAAGAAGAAGAAGAAGAAGAAGAAGAAGAAGAAGAAGAAGAAGAAGAAGAAGAAGAAGAAGAAGAAGAAGAAGAAGAAAAAGAAGAAGAAGAAAAAGAAGAAAAGAGAAGAAGAAGGAAGAAGAAGAAGAAGAAAGAAAGAAGAAGAAGAAGAAGAAGAAGAAGAAGAAGAAGAAGAAGAAGAAGAAGAAGAAGAAGAAGTAGAAGAAGAAGAAGAAGAAGAAGAAGAAGAAGAAGAAGAAGAAGAAGAAGAAGAAGAAGAAGAAGAAGAAGAAGAAGAAGAAGAAGAAGAAGAAGAAGAAGAAGAAGAAGAAGAAGAAGAAGAAGAAGAAGAAGAAGAAGAAGAAGAAGAAGAAGAAGAAGAAGAAGAAGAAGAAGAAGAAGAAGAAAAAGAAGAAGAAGAAGAAGAAGAAGAAGAAGAAGAAAAAGAAGAAGAAGAAGAAGAAATAGACATCCATCACTGACATGGCCGTGAACTTTAGACAGGTAAGAATGGGGAAGTAAGCGTGTTTACCCGAGAAGTCAGAATTATGGTTCGTGATGGGATCAAACTCGATCAATCAACTTCAATAAGCAGACGGGGACTGACACCTCTTAGCTGTCTGTCAATCGATGGATGCCCCCAAAAAGTGCTTGGTTTGGTTTTCTATACTTTAATGCCGCCCGAATGCGTTAGTAGCTTGTCATACTTAGCTTTAGATTTCAGTAATATGTACCATCGTCATCATCATCATCATGGTTGTTGTCACATTATCACACACACACACACACACACACACACACACACACACACACACATACACACAACAACCAAAAAAAAACAGCAATGTTAAAAACAGCAATGTTAAAAACAGCAACATCAAAAACTGCACCATTAAAACAGCAACATCAAAATCAACAAAATCAAAAACAGGAACATTAAAAACAACGAAAAAAACAAACAAAAAACCAGCAACATCAAAACAACAAAATCAAAAACAGGAACATTAAAAACAACGAAATAAAAAAACAGCAACATCAAAAACAGCAACATCAAAACAACAACATCAAAACAACAAAGTCAAAAACAGGAACATTAAAAACATTGAAATAAAAAACAGCAACATCAAAACAACAACATCAAAAACAGAAAAATTGAAGAAGAAAAAAACATTCCCGTGTGGCTTCCATGACCCTATTGTGGAGGGAGAGGGAAGGGTGGGTTTAAGAATCGACCCACTGCTCGCTAACAAACATGTGGTAAAAATGCGGCTAATTAGGGGTGTCTCAGAAGTCTGAGTGAAACTAAGAGGCGACTAACCAACAGTCTGTACACAAATAAGGCACATATGTAAAACGGATGTGCTCGCAAAACTCAAGAACTCTGGAACAAATCTAGCCAAGAAGCAGATCAACAACCAGAAATTTTCATCTGAGTTTGCAGCCAAAAATGAAAGTTACTGGTGTCAGTTTTTGACTTAACTAAACTCAACAATTTAACTCAACTCAATTCAACAATTCAACTTAATTGAGCTCAACGACTTAACTCAACTCAAGAACTCAGCTTAATAACTCAACTCAACAACTAAACTCAACCAGTCAATGATTTAATTTAACAACTCAGTCCAACTTAACTCAATATCTAAACTCAACAGTTTAACTCAACAATTTAACTCAACAACTGAACCTAACAACTCAGCTCAACAACTCAGCTCAATAACTTTACTCTGCTTGGCCCAGCGATGAAAGTAGATTCAATTAACAAAAATATTACAGAGATTGGTAAACTGGAGTCTTAAAGTCTTTCCCATGTACACCAGCAGAAGTAGGGAAAGGGTATGATGATAGTATGCCTTTGTGTATTGTCGCTAAAATATACAGGTCTGATTTTTCACAAAAGTTTTATCTGGCGTTGTTCCCACGAACTTCGTGCTTGGAGCGCTGTCTCGAGTTGTGAAAATAGCAACTGGTCCTGACTATCTGGTTTCTATTGCACTAGCCATAGCAAACTGTCTTTACTCTCTGAATTTATCAGATGTGTGGCGGTGCAGGGGGATCCACCGTCAGGTAGTGGCTAGACGCTTGCCTGGGATCCCAAGATTGTGGGTCCAAATGCAAACGGAGCTGGGCTTGTTAAAACTGACCTTGGCTGCTAAGTCGACCCGGTCATGGGTAGTAAGTAAAGTCCATGAACCTTTCATAACACTCGGCCACAAGAAATTAAAACTAATTGTAAAGTTTTTAATTATACAGTCATATCAGTACTGTTGTATTGAGCGGAAACATGGAGAACAACTAAGGCAATTACTAATAAACTATAGACATTCATTAACTAGTGCCTGCGCAGAATAGACGGGATTGAATGGTATCCTCATCAACTTTAGAAAAAAAAAAATGCTCGAGTATCTACAAACAAAAAAACCACATCTTTAAATCTGTTCATAGATGACTTGTACACCCTACGCAAAAGCTAGAGGTGACTGCACTTTGTGATGAAACAATCTTATCAAACAGACTGACTGACTGACTTTCTACCCCACCAGGACATCACACAAGCGATAAACACCCGATAACACAATATGCCACCATATGGGTGAGGATCACTGTGGAGAGGTCCCAG